CAGCCATGCTGAGGGCAAAGGGAAAAGTTTTCAAGCTGAGCTATGTTGGCTCAGGAATTCTGGGAGTTGAAGTCCACGAGTCATAAAAGAGCCAAGGTTCTCTACCCCTGCCATAGACATTTCAGTTTGTTTTTCAATTGAATTGTGAAGCTTATATGTTATATTAAGGGTGTAAAAAAATTCTGAAGTTATTTATCTTGGCCTATTTTTTTTACATATCAAAAGCCTGGCATTTTAACAGGGGTGTATAGGCCATATACCCACTGTATAGGTTTATGGCATTAAGACGACCCAATCCATTAATTCTTGGCTTCAAATATTCTTTAAATAAATTTATAGATAGTTCTTGTTTTGCAACTGCTCATTTATCAACCGCTTGAAATTATAATGGTGCTGAAAAAAATGACTTATGACTATCCAATAATTAATGTTGCAGCATTCCAGCGACATGTTCAAAATTCGAGCGCTTGGCAACCGGCGTGTATTTATGACTGCTGCAACATCCCAAGGTCACATAATCATCCTTTCCAGGGAGCTTCCAACAAAGTCAATGGGGAAAGTTGGATTTGCTTAATGGAAGTGGCAAAAAAGTTTAAAAAATAGGGTGCGATTTAACAACCATATCATTTAGATTCCCAATTGTGGTCATGTCAAGGACTACCTTTACTGATTTTTTTCCCCTGTGTTTTCACTTTTCTTCTTACTACGTGCTTCATCGTTTTTCATCTACATGGCTGATGAAAAAAATTAGCAGGACTAATTCAAGATTCAAGCATCCTGCCAGGTACCCAGAGCTAGGGTGGGACAGGAATCAAATTAAAGTATTCCTGACAGTCTGCTTTCCAATCCCTATTTGAATATGTTCATTTGTTTCCCTGTGAAGCGGATCTTAATATTAGAAAGATTTGCCTGAGCTAATGCTTGATTCTCTTCCTATCTTCTATTCAAGCTGGAACAGCAATGAATTCTTTTTCAAACTCACACTCAGTAAATTAAATTATGTGCAGTTACCTCAATTCAAGCATACATCAAATTTAAAAAAAGTGTGTGATTTAAGGCACAAGAAATAGAGACCACTAGACAGCTCTTCCATCTCTCCCCTTCAATGATGGAAGAACGAACAATGGCATTATTTAACTGCAAGGTTTCCTGAGACAGATCAAACTTTATAGAAGTAGATATGTCAGGGGTAGGCAATGCTTATTGCCCAAGTAGAACAGGAGTCTAGCTATTTCAATCTATCAAGTGCTAAAAACAGGCTGTTACTTGAGGAATAGTTGGGATTTAGCTTCCATCAATTCAACTCCATCTCCTTCTTCTGGTTGAAGTGGAAGCCCGGCCAGAAGAGAGACAACAGCTTCCATGCTTGCCTGGTCCAAGTCTCTGAACAGGAAAACAATTAATGAAATGAATCAATCAAAAGTGCCTTTTTCACACAATTTTCACACGGGCAACAAGGAAGTCCAAAGCAACCAGGAGTCTTAAGACTGAGCATCTTGAGCTGAGAGATAGGGTCTGTTTAAAGGCAAGACAAGAAGCAACAGATGGAAACTAATCAAGGAGAGAAGCAACCTAGAACTAAGGAGAAATTTCCTGACAGTGAGAACAATTAACCAGTGGAACAACCTGCCTCCAGAAGCGGTGAATGCTCCAACACTGGAGACTTTTAAGAAGAGACTGGGCAACCATTTGTCTGAAATGGTATAGGGTTTCCTGCCTGAGCAGGGGGTTGGACTCGATGACCTCCAAGGTCCTTTCCATCATCATCATCATCATCATCATCATCATCATCATCATCATCATCATCATCATCATCATCATCATCATCATCATCATCATCATCATCATCATCATCATGTCACCTATAGACCTTCCATAGCTCAGGGTGGATGTGACGTCTCTGCTTTTCTAAACCAACACCTTCACCCCACTACCCAGTTTTTGGTCCGAGACGAAGGAACTGACCCTAAGTCACCAAGCTGGATTCCATGCCTAAGAGAGGACTAGAGCCTGGGTCTTCCCAGGTCCAACACCTGAACCACTACACAGCTTCTTGAGAGAGAAGGAATGGCCTGAAGCACCCCATCTCCCCCCAGGAAGATCTTGTAGAGGACTAGACCCAGGATCTCCCCAATTGTACTCCAACACTTTTAGCAGTATATCAGATGGTCTCTTGGGCTGAGAATGACTGGCCCAAAATGATCCATCGAACCTCTGTGGCTGAAGATGGACTAGAACCAGAGTCTTCCACTTCTAGTCCAAATACACCAGACTGCCTCTCATAAACATAGATACAATGAACTCAATGTGCACTTGCTATTCTGTCTATCAAGCATTCATTCATTCATTTGGAGCATTCTACCTCAAGCCAGTGAATTCCATCTGTTATTAATCAACCACCCTATAAATTATTGTTAACAACTTGGTGCATAGTTAGTGTAGGTGGCATAGCTAACTGAGCACTCTGTTTACCTTGTCAGACATTTCACATCCTCATCTGTAGCCTGGTTGGATGTTCCCATAACCCAGTCGGTCAAGTATTCCACCATCTTGTTCCTAGAGTTCAGAATTACAGAACAAAATGCATGGAAAATAACACTGAACAAAATCCAAATTAAAGAAACTATGTGGAACATTTTCCAAATGCTAGATAAAATGCTATCTTGGAAATCTTACACTGGTCCCTCCCTTCCCACAAAATCAATCCAAGTACATTATTTTTTCTTATAGCAACCATGCCTATTTTCTGCCACTAGCTAAATAAGGTATTGGTAGCTATATCATATCATATCATATCATATCATATCATATCATATCATATCATATCATATCATATCATATCTTATCTTATCATATCATATATCATATCATATCATAAAACAGCCAGGAAGCATTACCTAACCAACTTTGGCCAACAGGAAAAAGCTGAGAAGGCTTGCAACTGGCTAGTAGATAGATATTAGCCAGTAGAAAATTTTGTAGATGTAGACGAGTATGAGAAACTGAAATAAACAGTCTATGAAATTATTAGAAGTTGAATTTAATCTGAAGAAGACTTTATTTTTATTAATTAAAACAGGGGTCCTCAACCTTGGCAGAATTCTGGGAGCTGAAGTCCACAAGTCTTAAAGTTGCCAAGGTTGAGGACCCCTGAATTAAAAGCTGTTTTCTAACAGTGTTACTTCTGGGACTTATGCTCCTCTTTCTCTTAAATTCCAAGAATGCTATTGTTTTCGCTTTCCCCACTCTCTCCTAAGTTTATTTAATATCTGCCCACTAAATTTGTTTGCATACCCTCGCCATCACTAGTCCAAAATCAAACCTTGGAGGGTCCACTTCGATGCTAATTGACTGCCATTCTGGAGATGTAACTAGAGTTCTTAATAAAGGTTCCAAAAATTTCAATCAAATCTCACCTGAATTTCATTTCTTGACAGAAGGACAGATCGTCTCGCCTCTCCATCATTACCTTCACAAGTTGGCAGAGTTTGGTTTTGATCTGAATTGCATGCACCAGGTTCCCAAGGACACGCACGTATCTGTGATAATTGAGATAAGACCTCTTATATTAACGAAGCTTGTGAAAACTGCCAGCATCCTCTGAGCATCTTCTCCAAAGCCATCACAGGCCAAGAATGAAGAGACTGGATTTTCCCTAATAAATCAGCATTCCCATGCTGGTACCTAGGTGTTCTGTCCCCCGTCCGACTCACACTCCCCAACCAGTCAGCCGAGGGCTGAGAAACTGCTCAGCACAGCCAAATACAGATGAACACTTGGCAGCAACTCCGTGGCTGCCTGCCAAGGCTTTTACTGATAACACAATACAAACATACGATAAGTCCAGGATAAATTGCTGGAGTGCTGCAACAGGAGATTCAGCAAAATTGTTCATCACAAAAGTTTCAAACGGCACACCCCTTGCTTATATAGCCTGTGGGGTGTGGCCCAGTGACTCAGCTGAAATCTCTGGCACGACGTTTCAGCTGCTGCGCACGCTTGTCCCTCCGACGCTGGCGTGGATCCAGCCAAGACGTATCCTCCTCAGAGTCCGATACACCTGGCTCCTGGCCAATCCCAGAAGCACCTGGCTCCTGGCCAATCCCAGAAGCACCGGGCTCCTGGCCAATCNGCCTGTGGGGTGTGGCCCAGTGACTCAGCTGAAATCTCTGGCACGACGTTTCAGCTGCTGCGCACGCTTGTCCCTCCGACGCTGGCGTGGATCCAGCCAAGACGTATCCTCCTCAGAGTCCGATACACCTGGCTCCTGGCCAATCCCAGAAGCACCTGGCTCCTGGCCAATCCCAGAAGCACCGGGCTCCTGGCCAATCCCAGAAGCACCGGGCTCCTGGCCAATCTCCTCTCCGTCGGAAGGCACTGAAGGCCGCACCAGAGGGGAAGGTCCTGGAGAGGGAGGCCTGGCCATCTCCTCTCCTTCATGTTCAGAGCCTTCCTCCTCTGATGAGAGGGACCCACAGGACGGAGCCACAACACTAGGTTGGATTATAATTCCACCTCTATTGTGGTGGAATTTGATGCTGGGTTGCAGGAAGGAGGGAGTCTTTCCCCCAAAATGTAAAAGATAAATCAGCCTTGAGTTCCTGGTATGCAGAAAGAAGTGCTCTACTTGCCCTTTCGTTACCTAAATTACAGTCCCGTCATTCAACCAAATTCAGCTTGCTTCTGTGTGATTGTTGGGTCTAGAACCGGACACCCTTGCTTTCCTACAAGCACACAAGGGGAGACACAGAGGAATGAACTGACTTGCCTAACTAGATTCAGCATCATGGTCTCAATCCTGGCTTGCCCAAGGTGTTCCGAGCTGCCTTCGGTGTGGTTATCAAGCAGGTTCTTCATGATCGCGATGGTCTGCTCCACAAACTGGGTATTGGTATCGTTTAATAAGACCTGCGCAGGAGCAAAACATGCTCTTGGTTATACATAATAACAATATCCACCACGTTTCCTTTGAAATTCTTCTAATTTTCTGCTTTGCGTGTTAGCAATTTTTTCAGACCCTTGAGAAATTTCTGGTAGCCCACACGTGCTACCAAGCCCCATCTGAGAACACAGATATTTTGCAAGATTTGAGCATCCCATGAAACCTCAATGGTTAACATATACTAACTATAATATATATACTATAACTTCAATTATAACTTTTTTTAAAAAAATAGTATTTCAAGGAGCAATTACATCAGTGATGGCAAACCTTTTAGTGCCCAAACTGCAACCCAAAACCCACTTATGCATCGTCGGGTGCCAGGTGGGTGTGGCCCATTGGCTGGGTGTAGCCAATTGGGGGGGTGGCCCATTGGGTGGGCATGGCTGCTGTGGTAACAGCAGACTGGGTGGGACTGAAAAGTTCGATCAATCAATTCCAACTTTGCAAGATCTTTTTTTTCCTGCAAGAAGTTGAAATTGACTGATTGATTGAACCTTTTTTTTTTTTTTTTTGCACATGGCAGCGGAGGCCTAAAGCGAAAAGGTTTTATAAAACCCAGCTGAAGGCCTAGGGCTGGGGCGACGGCGCGCGTGCCCACAGAGAGGGCTCTGAGTGCCACCTCTGGCACCCGTGCCATAGGTTCGCCACCACTGAATTACATCATCTAACCCTGGTAAAGACATCACGTTACACTTCTTTGGACAGAAATATAGACAAAGGGATTGATGATGTCTATGGAAATTCTCAGTCATCCAGCTCATGGTTGGCCCAAAGGTGCTTTTCCAAAAGGCAACTGGATTTTGTTTTTTCCTTGAAGAAAACTGAAGAAGCTTCTTGGTTGAGAAGCGAAACGTCTCCAAGGAAAAACAAAGTCCAGTTGCCTTTTGAAAAAGCACCTTTGGGACAAAGTGATTGATAGCATCTTAGTGAATAAGGGCAAGACAAAAATAACTTTATCTCGATATTGAGCAGGAAAAACGAGCTAGTACTTCTGAAGAAGTTCTGCTGAGGACAACAAACTACTCCCCAAAATTAATTTCCTAATAGAAATCTCCAGAATCGGCCAACTAATCAACCAACCAATCAACGAATCAATCAGGGCATCTGTCAGTTTGTTTACCTCACTCTCTCCAAGGGAAAAAGATGGCTTATAATCCAGGGGTAATCAACCTTGGCTCTTTTATGACTCGTGGACTTTAACTCCCAGAATTCCTGAGCCAGCTGTGCTGGCTCAGGAATTCTGGGAGTTGAAGTCCACGAGTCATAAAAGAGCCAAGGTTGACTACCCCTGGCTTATACGGATACCCAGCCAGTTATCAAATCTGACTCTGAATTATTTTGTTTGTGAACACTACCCTTATCCCATAATAGTTAATCTGATTTGTCCTCTAAATACAGACAGGAGTGTGGTAGAAAGGAGAAGTCCTGCTTATGGGTAGTCCTCAACTTACAACCACAGCTGAGCTCCAAATCCCATTGCTAATGCCCCGTTTTGCAACCTTTCTTGCCATGGCTACTAAGTGAATTACTGCAACCGTTAAATGAAGCTTGCGGTCATTAAGCATATTTGGCTTCCTCCATTTGCTTTGCTTGTCAGAAGCCGGCTGGGAAGATTACAAATGGCGACCACATAGCCCCAGCGGAGTGCCAACCGTCATAAATACATGCCAGTTGCCAAGCATCCCAATTTTGATCACATGACCGCAGGGGGATGCTGCAACGGTCCTAAGCATGAAAAACCGTTCGTAAATCCCTTTTTTACAGTGCTGTTGCAACTTTGAACATCGCTAAACGAATGATTGTTAAGTCGAGGGCTGTCTGTGTGATAGCTGCTTTGCAAAACAGTTTAAAACTGAAACTGAGCTTTTACCTGCCCTTGCGAGTCGAAGAACTTGCTGATGTTGTTCTTTAATTTGTTGAAAAGCGTTGGGTAGAGGGCAGGGCTCAGCTCCAGGCCGACGAGGTCCTTAATGTTGGTCCGTATCTGCAGGCCCACTTTCTCGTGGGTGCAGACCATCAGGGACAACAAGCGATCCATGAACTTGCTCACAGGAGTCTCGGTGTTGCCGTCCGTCGACAGCATGGAGATCATGGAGCCTTTCCGCTCGCTCACAGGGCCCATGGGGGGACTGTAGGATGGAAAGGGCGTGTTGCCGCGATGCTGCAAGCACACTCCGCCCAGGGCGCACAGAAAGCCGGTCATGTTGATCCACTCTTGCAAAGAGTCTGTGTCGGACAGGTCTATGGAGCCTCCACCGCTGACATGGGACATCCGCCTCTTGACGATTGTCTTGTGAAGGCTTTCAGCAACCTGCAGAGAGCGAGACATACAGCAAGGCGGGATGAAGTCAGCCACGAGAATTCTATCAAGCACAGAAACGGAAAGGCAGGTGAATTCTCACAACGGATGGAAAAAGCGGCGGAGTTGGTGGAGAGGGTGAAACTAGCTGTTTTAATTAAAGAGAAGAACTTAGCCAGTTTTGTTTCCACTTTGGAAACCAACTCTGGATTTCATGCCTGAAACAGAGGGGAAAAAATGGAATTTTGATACAGGTAGTCCTTGACTTACAACAGCTTGTTTAGTGACCGTTCAAAGTTACAACGGCACTGAAAAAAAGTGACTTATGACCGTTTTTCACCATTATGATCGTTGCAGCTTCCTCAGGGTCACGTGATCAAAATTCAGGCACTTGGCAACTGACTCATATTTATGATGGTTGCAGTGTCCCGGGGTCATCTAATCACCTTTTTCGCCTTCTGACAATCAGTCAATGGAAAAGCCAGATTCACCTAACAACCCTGTCACTAACTTAACCGCAGTGATTCACTTAACAACTATGATGAGAAATGTCCTAAAATGGGGCAATATTCACTTGTCTGTCTCGCTTAGCAATAGAAACTTTGGGCTCAATTGTGGTTGTAAGTCAAGGACTACATGCATTAGGTTTCAGTGACTAATCTTGTTGTTATAGAAATGGCTATTATTTCTGGTATCTATTAGAAATGTTAAGCAAAAAGCTGAGGCTGAAACTGTATATTGCATTCTGCTGCACCCAAAAGGAAGACGCTGCTCTTTTTTTTTCCTTTTTACCTTGCACTCCTCCCTTTCCCTTCTGATCTTTATTTTATATTACAATAAACTCTAATAAACATCTCAAAAAAAAGAAAGGTGAGATGAGAATGTCACACTGCTAAATTTGTGTGTATTAATTTGTTTCGGATAGGGATTATTCATTCCAGAAAGCAAACTAGTCCCTCACAAGAACATGATTCTCTTTCTAGACCACCTTAATCCATCAGGAATTGGGTTTTTCAGAAAAGAATTGTGGCTCAAACAAAGTATAACTTAAATCTGGTCCCGTATCCAACCTAAACTGGCTCTTCATAATGCTTTGCTATTACTTGCTATGAGATGCTATGAGAGGATTTGTGAGATTCCCTTTTAAAAGCCTTTCTAGTTTCATTCTCATTCTTTTAGGTGCTTGTTTATATTACTAGCTTTATTAGACTGATATTCTGTGATGTTTTCTAAATAACTGGAAGGTCCTTTGGGAAAGCTCCTGAAAAGCAGAATTGAAATGTTTAAAAGAAAGCAAATTAATATTCTGGTAAATTCACAATAATCAAAATATGTTTTGTGTTTTGTTCTACTCCGAATTGGCATGCTACCTGAACCTATCACAGTGGATTAAATTTCATACCCAATGGCTCAGCATGTGTACATCCTGGACATAAGCTGTTTCAATACATCCCCTCAGGATGCCGTTTATAGGGCATATAATGTCAAAACAACTCTAGACAAAAACAGTTTTCCCCCTATGCCATCACTCTGCTAAACACCTAATTCCCACAGCACTTATGTCTAAGGATATTTACCTATGTAGTAGGGCTGTATTACTATTATCCTTCGCATCTTTCCTATTACCATCTCCTATTGGTATCTTATGATTTATCACTTTGTTGTTTGTATGTACATGGAAAGCTTATGCACCGGAGACAAATTCCTTGTGTCTCCAATCACACGTGTCCAATAAAGAATATTCTATTTTTTTCTATCCAATGATTAAGCAAACAATGGGCCAATATAACTTTGATTTATCCAATAAGCTGTAGCTGAACACATCACAACTTCATCTATCTATACCAGGGGTAGGCAACCTTGGCTCTTTTATGACTCGTGGACTTCAACACCCAGAATTCCTGAGGAATTGCCTACCCCTGGTCTATACAATAGGGACCAGAGAAAGCCAATCTGGTATAATGGTCTGAGGTATTGGAATAAAAACAGAGAGAGCAAGGTTCTAGTCCCAGCTGAGGCATGGAAGTCAGTTGGGTGAGTTTGGGCCATTTGTTCGCTCTCAGTCTTAGGAAGAAGGAAAGGCCAAACCATCTCTGAAAAGGTTTCTTGCAAAAAAAAAACAACCCCTGCACAGATCTGCCTATGTAGTCATCAGAGGTCAAGACCGATTCGAAGAACAGTAACCACCTCATTCCCCCCCACCGCGCACCAGCAGATAGTCACAGTATTTTGAAATTTTATTTATGACTGCCTATCATTTTATTTATATGCTGCCTATCTCGCTGCCCAGTGTCTTTTCTGAAAGGCAGCCAAACAAATGACATAGGCCAGGGGTAGGCAACCTCGGCTCTTTTAATGACTCGTGGACTTCAACTCCCAGAATCCCTGAGCCGGCATGGCTCAGCATGGAAACCTCTCCCTTTCTCCTCAGCATGGCTGGTTCAGGAATTCTGGGAGTTGAAGTCCATGAGTCATAAAAGAACCAAGGTTGCCTACCCCTGGCATAGGCATAATCTCAACAACTGAATGAGGGATTCCAATGTGTTCTGAAGAAAAAGCAAACTGACTTCTAACCAACAATGCATAAACGTAACAGACCACACAAGCATATAAAATATAAACTTTCAAAAGAAAAAAACAACCAGTTTAAAAAAAAGAATATTAGGAGAAGTTGCACTCAAGCAAAAACGGAACTTGCTTTCATTTTTCTCAAAGGCAAAATGAAAAGGGGAATTTGCTGGAGTAGCAACAGAAGGCTAAGGATGACAGGAGTTATTCACCCAACTTTTCTAGAGGGTATGTTCCTCTAATGACCTTGGTCTTACCTGGCCATCTTCCATCTTAGTCTTTGGATAGTTGAGGATCAATTTTGTAGCCGCCTCCCATTTAAAATGTGTATCTTCCCAAGCCTACAGCAAACCGGAAGAGATACCGTTTTATCACACAGCATAAACAAGCCCAAGGCAACAACTGCTGACTGCTGAAAATAACATTTTTTTTTGTTTCCTAAGAAAAGGAAAAAGCTTACCTCCGTGTTACCTGCTGTTGGATGTTCAATACGCCTGAGCAGGGCCATCACTCTCTTCTGAAGAGCCGTTCTTCCTACAAAGAGATGCACTCAGAAGCTGAGAACATTTTCTTAAGATTGTTTTATTAACAAGCAGAAGGGTCTTCTATAACAGGGCTTTTCAACCTTTTCACCCATTGTACCACTTTTAGGATATGGCAACATCCGAGTACCACCAGTCGCCTAGCAAGGGGTCAAAAACTTGATGACCCAAAAAAGGGAAAAAGTGATGAAGTACAGGTAATCCTCGACTTACAACAGTTCGCTTAGTGACTGTTCGAAGTTACAATGGCACTGAAAAAAGTGCCCCCCAAGCTACAGCCGAGCAAGACACCTGCCTGCCCGCCCAGTGACGCTCTTCCTCCTGTCCGAGGTTTTCATTGTTGTGAGCATTTCTGTTGAGGATTGGCAGCGGGGGTGGGGTGGGGGTGTTTGGTTTTTATTCCCCCCGTCTGCTGGGTGGTTGCAGCAGGTTTTGGTCAATTCACATGACCCTGGGACACTGTGACCGTCATAAATATGAATCAGTTGCCAAGCATCTGAATGTAAATCACAAGACCCTGGAGAGGCTGCAACATTCCAGCTGATCGGCACTTCTTCTGGGTTCAGCAGAAGCATCAGGATCAGCACTGAGCTCCAGCTGGAGCCTGGCGCTGATCCTGGCACTTCCACTGAGCCCTGACAGCCCTGCAGCTCCAACCATCTCTCACTCAGGCTTGTCCGGTGCTGCCACCGGTTCAGCTCATTCCCCTACCCCACTACCACTTTTCTGGGATGGTCGCGTACCACCTGCCAGGTGCCAATGTACCACAGGTGGTACCCGTACCACTGGTTGAAAAGCCCTGTTCTATAAGATTGGTACAGTCTTCAAGGGAGAGTTAGGACTGGAGAAAGAAACAATCGCAGGCAGCCTGCCTTCCATTGAGAACCCAAATACTGTAAGAACCAGAAAGAGGGCTGAGAAAATATCTACAGACCCTTCACATCCTGGACATAAACGGTTTCAACCTCTCCCCTAGGGATGGTTCTATAGGGCAGTGGTGGCGAACCTATGGCACGCGTGCCAGAGGTGGCACTCGGAACCCTCTCTGTGGGCACACATGCCGTTGCCCCAACCTCGCCTCCCCGGTGACCCCCTCCTCACCAGCAGCCCCCCCCGGAGGAGAGCCGCCCCCGAGCGTGGCCCATGCGGAGCAGCACAGCGAAGGACACGGCAGCCAGGCAGCGTAGACAAGACTCTGTCCTCACGCCCCATCACACACAGTTGATGCTACGGGGCGCGGGCAGTGGCCGCCATGGCGCTGCTGGGCTGCATGCGGGCAGGCGGAGCAGGGGATGGGGTGGGGGCGGGACGGAGCAAAGTGGGGGCGGGGCAAGGGGTGGAGCAGGGGTGGGGCCAGTTTTTGAGCACTCGGTCTCTAAAAGGTTCGCCATCACTGCTATAGGGCATTGCATGCCAAAACAACTAGACATAGAAACAGCTTTTTCTCTCATGCCATCACTCTGCTGAACACCTAATCCCCACAGAACTGTCTTATACCTAAGGATATCTAACCATGTAGTAGGGCTGTATTGCTATTATCCTTCTCATCTTTCCTATTAGCTACTCCTATTGGTATCCGACGACTATCACTTTGTTGGTTGTATTTTATGATTTATGACTGCATCTTTGATTTATGACTTATCACTTTGTTGTTGGTCTGTACACTGAGAGCTTCTGCACTGGAAACAAATTCCTTGTGTGTCCAATCACACTTGGCCAATAAACAATACCGTACCTTACCCTACCCCAGGGGTGTCAAACTCGCCGCGTCACGTGACATGTCGCGATGTATTGTGACTTTTTCCCCCCTTGCTGGAGCTGGGGTGGGTGCGGCTTCCACGTGCCACATCCGGCCTGTGGGCCAGCACCTCTGTCCTACCCTACCCTATCCTAAAATGAAGATCTTTGCTTTTAAAAAAAATGGCAAAATGGATCCACATTCATTCATACTGTGCTGTATATTTTAATACAGTAGTTAAAAAAATAAACTAATTGTAAAGAATTTCAGTTTCAAGAGTATAATTCAGACTTTTAATTTTAGATGTAATAATAATAATAAAGTTGGAAGGGACCTTGGAGGTCATCTAGCCCAACCCCCTGCTCAGGCAGGAAACCCTATACCATTTCAGACAAATGGCTGTCCAGTCTCATGTGTAACTATGTTTCTCAGAAATCTCATTTATGAATGATCCATCAACTAATCAACTATTTGCCAATACAGGTAAATCTCAAGTCTGCTTATCACTGTCATTAACTTGTGGCAGTTGTAATTTGGGTCACCCACATAACCAACCCGATTTTACGACCTTTTTTGAGGTGGTCATTAAGCAAATCATTGATCATTAAACAAATTATCCCAGTTATTTATCCAATCTGTGCTCATTAAGCAAATATTGTAGTTATAAAGCAAACTAATGGTTCGCTCTGGGCAGAGTTTTGCCAAACACTGCAAGTGAATGCTGGTTTTCAGCAAAACTGTTGTGAAATTCAGTCACATGAGCATACAAACACTGCAAACAGCTGTAAATGTACCCTGGTTGTTGAGTGCCCAAAGTGCAGACATGTAACTGCAGGGGGGAACCATCAGAATTCTGAATCCGAATCTTAAATACCCCCACAACTTCAAATGGTCGGTAAGTGACTGGTCAATAAGTTGAGGACTACTTATATCAGGGGTGTCAAACTGCCAGCCCGTGGGCCAGATCCGTCATGCCGAAACCGCGCCCACCCCAGCTCCAGCAATGGGGGAAAAGTTGCGACACATTGCGAGACGTCACGCAACGTTGAGAGTTGGACACCCCTGACTTATATGACATAAGCTGTTGTATTATCATTACTGTGGTCATTTAGACCCAGTCAACATTCTGAAAGTGTGCTTTTGAGTTTGTAAGTCATCAGTGTTACGTGGAAACTGAAGCAACAGGCTTCAAGATACATGAACCTGTTCACAGCTGTGACTCCAGTTGCAAAGGATTAAGAATTTAAAGAAGCGCCTGATGTTTATCCACTGAAAATATTGTGAATATATTGAAAATAAATCTCTTGTGTCTAATACCAAAGTTGCTTTTTCAAGATCTATGAAGACATTTCGCTTCTCATCCAAGACAACCATGACCTGGATGACTAAGACTCTCCACAGACATCTTATGTCTAATATTTTAGGTTTATGCATATAGCAATGGGACCTCTTCTTACCTGTAGACATCATATTGCTCACAGAAGCAAACTCCATAAAGGTATTATAGTTGGGCAAGAAGTTGTGAACTGACACCTCATCTACTCCACACCTGATATCTGCTTCCTCGCAGAGATGTCGGAAACAGGACATTGCCACAAGCACTGCCTCGGTGTCAGGGCTCCAGAGAGACATATACAAGGCAACCTCCAACTTGGTCTGGGCTTGGCGACATATTGGTGTCCCACTGCAGCCTACGGTGCTTTCCTTCGGAAACAAAACATTGGTAAAGTCAACTGCTAGTTGTCACTGCAGTGGTTGCTTTTCACGTATTTCAAAACCTAATATAGTTCAGTTAGTCCTCAACTTACAACCATTTATAGAGTGACAGCTCAAAGTTACAACAGCACTGGAAAAAGTTATTTACAGCCAGTCTTCACTCTTAAGACCATTGTAGCATCCCCATGGCCACATGATCAAAATTTGGGCACTTGGCAACCAATATGTATTTATGAAGATTGCAGCATCCCAAGGTCGTGTGCTTGTCATTTGCAACCTTCCCAGTCGGCTTCTGACAATCAAACTAAATGGGGGGGGAATCTGATTCACTTAACAACTGCATGATTCACTTAACATCTGCAGTACGTTGCTTAACAACCATGGCAGAAAATTGGGTCATTAAATTGGGTGTGCCTACCTTAATAACCATCTTGCTTAGCAAAAGAAATTCTGGTTCCGATTGTGGCCGTAAGTCAAGGACTACCATTTTCAAGCACATTAGATACCCAGCAGTCATGGAGTTCCCATCCAAAATAGTTTTTTATCAGAAACCACTAGACCAGGGGTAGGCAACCTTGGCTCTTTTATGACTCGTGGACTTCAACTCCCAGAATTCATGAGCTAGCATGGCTCACCTTGGAAACCTCTCCCTTTCTCCTCAGCATGGCTGGCTCAGGAATTCTGGGAGTTGAAGTCCACGAGTCATAAAAGAGCCAAGGTTGCCTACCCCTGAGCTAGACCAAAAGAAAGTGGTGTCTCTTCTTTAATAGAAGAGACCATTATGCCACCAAGAAACAAACTGGTTCTTTTCCCCATTTACCTACCTGGGTGTCTGCAGAGGTTGGACTGCATATTTGGTCGGGAATTTATTTCAGAAACTAAGCAAGGTTAGTTAAGCATTAAGTGTCTGGAGGGGGCCACTCCTTGGGAATTTCAAAGTAGTTGTCTATAAGGTAGTCCTCGACTTATGACCACAACTGAGCCCAAAATTTATGTTGCTGAGTGAGACACTTGTTAAATACGTTTTGCCCCATTTTACCACCTTTCTTGCCACAGTTGTTAAGTTAATCTCTGCAGTTAAATTAGTAACACATTTGTTATGTGAATCTGGCTTCCCCATTGACTTTGCT